CCGAGTCAAAAGTGATAATATCAAACTAAATACAAAAAGAAAACACACACACACACATATATCACACATATACAGATAAAGCTATATTTATGGAGTGTGATCACTTTGATCTAAAGGAAAATTAAACACATTAATTATTGGTCTTTCAAAACAAAAATCATGTGTTTTAAGGAGTCAGAGAGAGGGGATAGAATTTATATTTTAAGTTCTAGAGAATGACAGATGAGTCTGTGCATAGTGTGAATACAACATAACATGTTTTCTCAAGGGATTATGGAATACATACAATAGACAGTGGAGGTTTTCTAAAGTGAAGCATAAAGGAAAAACAATTATTTGTTTGATATAGGTATTTCTCTCTTTTTTGTTCTGTTTTTCATTTTCTTTTTGTGTTACTATTCTAAGGGACTCGCAGGTGACTTGACGGCACACAACAACAATAACATTCTAAGGGCCATATATATCTTCTTACACTTCAAAATCACAAGGCACTGAATTAGAAAGAATGTCTCCTCCTGAGTGATTCACAGCCTTGGCAACCTGATGGAGATCACAACACGAGTTGGAACCAACTCATGAGCAATAAGTGTTCTCTATTTTAAAAGCCATACAATGCCTTAGGTATGAAAACAAAAAGAACTGGTCACCCCAACAAGTTACAGAAGCCACAAATTTTGTTCACATACTCATGGCTTGGTGTGAGGGTGTGAGTAGTTCATGAGCCAATGAGAAAATTCTTCTGTCATAAAGAGAAGATATATTCTGAGGCTCCATCTAACATACTTTGGACATGTTGTGAGGTGAGACCGGTCCTTGGAGAAGGACATCATGCTTGGGAGGGTGGAGGGACAGCGCAGGAGGGAAGGCCCTCTATGAGGTGGATTGATTCAGTAACTGGGATAATCGGGATGGGAGTGTCAGAGACAGTTCGATTGGCACAGGACAGAGCAAGTTTAGGGCTGTTGTACATCGGGTCGACAGCACATAACAACAAACAACAACAATATTCTGATTAAGATGATCCCTACTACATCCATGATAGTAGCAATCAAGAAATCAAAAGAGGTATTGCATTGGAAAAATCATCTGTCAGGGACCTTTCCAGAGACCTAAAGGGCCAATGTTTCAAAACTGAAGTGGGTCTTATCCAAAACACTCTATTTTCTATTGCTTTGCACACATCTGAAAATTGGGCAATCGATAAGGAAGATCAAAGAATAACTGATGCCTTTTAATTGTGTTGGAGAATATTAGAGACTATACCATTGACTGCCAAAAGAACAAACAAATCTCTTTTGAAGAAAGTTCAACCTGTGTGCTCTTTAGAGGCAAGGGTGGTAAAATTTGTGTCATATATTTTGGACAAGTCATCAGGAATTGCTAGTTTTTTAAAAAGTAAATAATGGGAGGAAAGGTCATCAGAAGAGAGGAAGAACATCAACAAGATGAACAGACAGTTATTGTAACAATGGGCTTGAGCATGGGTGAAGATTGTGGTCACAGTGTAAAAGAGGGCATGATTTCAATCTGTTGTCCTTTAAGTCGCTAACAGTTGTAGTTACCTCACTGGTATTAAACAAAAGAACGATACTGTTTGGCCAGATCCAAATTTCTCTCTTCTCCTTCCCTGAGATGTGAATGTCTTCAAGGAGCACATTAGCACCTCTGTCTCCAAACATGTTGACTCTGAGGTCAAATCAGTGGGAGTCAATTGTTCTGACACTACAAACAAAAGATTCTGTGATTCTAAATCTAAAATGTAGGCCTGATTTTGCCTTCTGTGAAAAAACGTATTGCGATGGGAAAGTCTGCGGTTAGGGACCTCTCTAAAGTACTCAAGAGCAACGGTGTCTCTCTGGAGACTAAGGTGCTCCTTATACAGGCCATGGTTTTTGGAATCACTTGTTATGCATCAGAGAGTTGGACAATGACTAGGGAGGATAGAAGGAGAATTGACGCCTTTGAGCTGTGGTGCTGGAGAAGAGTACTGAATGTACCATGACTGCCAAGAAAACAAATAGATTCTTCCTAGAGAGGGTTAAACCAGGCTGCTCCTTGGAGGCAAGGATTCTGGGGCTTCGCCTGACATACATACTTTGGACATGTTGAAAGGAGAGACAGGTCTTTGGAGAGGGACATCATGCTGGGTAGAGTGGAGGGACGGCGCAGGAGGGGAAGACCCTCTCTGAGGTGGATTGATTCAGTGACTGGGGTAATCGGGATGGATGTGTCAGAAGCAATGCAATTGGCACAGGATAGAGCAGGGTTTAGGGCTGTTGTACATAGGGTCGCTATGAGTCGCAAGTGACTCGACGGCACATAACAACAACAACATAATAAAGTGTCAGAAATTTTAAAATAAAATGAATATCCATCCATTTGGGAACATTTTCACTAGGCAGGTGAAGAACAGTGTTCACAGATGGAACCAAGGGTCAAGTAACACAATCTTTTATTTATTTTAGTTTTTCCAATTCGCAAAGTAATTTTTCTGCTCAAGAATGTATTACACTCAATTTGACCAGTATCCAAGGCTGTATAGATTGCAATATGTGAATATTTGCTTTTGTTTTCAAGTTTATTTATTTCAACAAACTCACAGCCTTTGGCCTTCAGTTGAATGAAGGGTTTGCATCCTTTGGTCTCTAAACTCCAGCCCAGATTATAACCAACTTTAAACTTAAAGCTACAAAACCTGATTGGAAAGTGATTTTCTTTCTCATGGCTGGGGAGAATGAAAAGAATTACACACAATCATACAGAGATGAAAACAACTTAATTTCCTATCAGTGAAGGAATGAATAGTGAAACTATGGTACATTCACATGCAACATTAAACACTAGTGTAGAATTTGTGAAACATTGCATAATATGGATGAACCTGGAGGACATTATGCTGAGTAAAATAAGTCAGTCACAAAAGGACAAATGCATATAAAATCATGATTATAAAAAGCTAAGGTAATGTTTAAACTCTGAGAGAATCATACTATAATGGTTACACAGGAGGGAAGGGGGAGGAGGAGAAAATTAGTATTACTAATTAATACTTAGTAAGATGGGCAAAGGGAAAGATAATATGGAATGAACGGACAATCAGACAGTATGAGTATTGCAATTAATGTTATGAAACAAAATGTGCATGAATTATTGTTTGAAAACAAACAATATTCTTTGTAAACTTTTACTTAAATCATAATAAAATATATTTAATAATGTATTATTTTAATATATTAACCTAGCAGTTGCCTTAGTAAAGTCCTGAAAACAATATATAGGAGAGGGGAAAAAAAAATCACACAATAAAATTTGTTCCTAAAGTAGGCATAATAACTCATATTTTCTCAAGGGAAAGTGCCTTTGTGTTGTAGGTGAGGTGGTTGGTTTCTTGGTATGTGCTGTCAAGGAGGCTTCAACTCATTGTGACCTTATGCACAATAGTTTGAAACCCAGCTCTATTCTGCGCCAATCTTGCTGTCTCTGACACACTGACCCTCATTACCCAGTTATTCTCAAGCCATCTCATCTGGATCTTCCTCTCCTGTGCTGTCTCTCAAATGACCCATCCAAGTATGATATCCTCCTAAGATGGGTCCCTCCTGGCTACATGGACAAAGTATATGAGAAAAAACATTCAAAATCTTTGCCCAAGGAGCAGCTTGGTTTCACCCTCTTCAGGACAGACTTGTTCGTTTTCTTGGAAGTCCATGGTACATTCAATATATTTCTCCAGCACCACAACTCAAAGGCATCAATTCTTCTTCTGTTATCCTTGTTAATTGTCTAGCTCTCTGATGCATAGCAAGTACTTATGAAGACCATAGTCTGGACCAGGTATACCTTAATTTCTAGACTAACATCCTTGTTCTTCAGCACTCTAGAGAGGTCCCTGACAGTAGACTTCCCTAATGCAATTTGTCTTTTCTTTTTTTTAATTAAAAAAAAAGGTTTTTATTGTACTACTTAGAAGGGTAAGGAGTTGCCCTACCAACCCCAAGACAGGTGGTTCAAATCTACCAGCTGTTCCTGAGAAGAAAGATGGACAGTCTACTCCTTTGTGAATTACAACCTATGGAGGGTCACCGATGAGTTCTTCCAACTTGAAGACAATGAGTGAATGAGTGACTGAAAAGTCAATTCTTTCCCCGCCCCTATCTATCTATCTATCCATCCATCCACCCATCTATCTATCTATCTACCTACCTATCTACCTACCTACCTATATATCTATTTATTTATTTAAAATAGCATTCAGTTTATTACAAATATTTAGTATTGGCTTCCCATATATTCCCCCTTTTGTTTTTATCATAATTATGTTATCATCTAGATTAGCATCCTTTTTACACAAACAAATTAAACATAATAAACTCAAAGAAATACTTTCAAAAATCTCCTTATGATCAGAAGGATTCAGGTTAAATATTCCTTGAAAGTCTGTGTTAATTGTCCCATTACCACAGTGCTTGTCAAAACCAGTTCTGATTAATCTCCTTTGTTAGTGTGTCCTTTGTCATTTCCTACCACTCCTCCCTGAGAGAGATTTCACCCTGATTCATAAGGAAAAGGCGAGGGGCCCTTTAGAGTAATGAGAAATTTGTCTATTGATTTCCTGACTGCTGGTGCCAACAGTGTTGACTGTGGAACAAAGCAAGCAGAAATTGTTAACAATCTCAGTCTTTTCTCCATCTATCATGATGCTGTCAATTGACCCGGTGGTGCTTTAGCACTATTTCAAAAAGAGCTAGTTTGTGTTGAATTACACACAGTAATTGTAGCATTTCAAATGATGGCACTAGGTAACATATCATTCAACACCTAAAGAAAGTGAAGGTATCTCACAGGCTGTTCCAGTTACTAACCTGTATACCAGGGAAATTCAACCATAAAATAGAAGCACATCTGACATAGGAAGTGAACATTTTTACAATTAGTCTTTATTTTACTATATGATCCATTTATCTGAAAAATACATTCTGTGCATTGTTTGATTACATTACCTGCTGTACTGTTGAGTTGCCACCATTCAAGATAGCAATTCCAAGTTTCAAAGTAGCAGCTACCATTGGTCCTGTTTCACCTTTAAAAAAGTTAATTCTATGATTAGATCTGCTATAATGATTCTAACTCAAAGTGTTTTAGTAGTTACATTTTTATTATTTCCCCAGAAATCTATATAAAGGTCAAGAAAGCAGACTAACTTATCTAGCAAAAACTATTCAAACAAGAGAAGTATATAAAAAGCATCAGTGCTTTTGTTAAGTTCTGTGGTAATGCTGAACACATTAACTAATAAAGAAAATTATATGATATAGAAAAAAGAATTAAAAGAAACAATAGATTTTGAAATGAGATTTAAATCAAGCTTGTGTATATTAAACTAATATTGAAATGAATAAGAATGAATTAAAATTTGATTCCAGGAAAAGCATCTTCCACATTGCCTTTACAGAATTATTATCATTACCATATTTATATATGATATAAATATATAGAAAATGAATATATGATTTAATATAAATTATATATTTGTATATTATCTATTTATATATATATTGGAAAGTATTATATTATTGAGATATAAAATAATACTATTGACATATATAATAATAATCAACAATCTCTGGCTTGAGGGCCAAATTTCACTGGGTATATGTTTTTGTATATAAAGTTTTATTGAAACAGAGTCATGTCCATTTGTTTATTCATTATCTCTGATTTTATGGCAATGATTTTACAAAAGCAGAGCTGAACAACTGCAACAGTGCACACATGGCCTGCAAAACTGAAATTATTTCACATTGGCCTTTCTTTCACACGATAAGTTTGCTGATCCCTATGTGTTTTGTCATTTTGCAAGTGTTCTGTCACAAAATAGTATATATCACTTCCAAAGTGTAAATGGCAGGAAGAAATAAAAATCTTCCCAACAAGGTATAGGGGGGATAAATCAACCCCAGATTCAGTAAATGCTAACAGCTAAGGCTACAGAATAGTCAGTCCCCAGGAAAAAGAACCTAGGGACTACAGAGATGAGGGGAAATGGTATGAGGGCGCAACTCTGTGAGAAGGAAGGCTGGGGACCAAGGCATACTCACCTTTGCTGGCACTAATAGTCTGCAGCACCATCTCCGCGGCACCTCGATCATGCAGTCTGGCTTGCTGGTATAGAAGCTTTTGCTTCTCCATTTCTTTCTCCTGAACACAAATCCCAACCATTTATGTTGTAGCTTTCAGCATAGCAACATTCTAAAGACCATATTTTAAGTCATCTCTTCATGTATGGGCTCTATGACAACATTATGGACCATTTCAACACCAGCAATGATATTCAACAGGTAGTAACATATTCAACTCTTGGTTTTGTTTGTTTTATTTTGTTTCCTTTATGTTTTTCTTGATATACTTTTGGTACTCATTTATCAAGATGGATTTTTTTTCTCAATTTTAATGATTTGATCAGTTCAAAGCCTGTATCACAGTTTTGAAGCACTGAACTTTGTCATTTAAACATGCACTTTCTGAATTATACATTCGTGCATAAGGTTGTCCCATTTTCAGTAATTTCCCATCTCATGGCCATAACTTGATACTGCTCAGCAAATGGCTCGAGTTGCAAGGTATCACTGAATCAGGGGGGGAAAAAACTTTCACTGAGGTGTTCTTGGAGTTTAAGCAAAATTGAAAAGTGATATGGATAAAGATAGGCTTCAACTAGGTCATGGGCTTATGATACAGATCTCCCCGGTCACCCCCAAAGAGTAAAAGATGCAATGTGCCTTTATATTTTGTATTCTCTGGCCGTGACAAACGATACAGCATGGTGCTGCTAGAGCAATGGCTGGAGGTTATTCTTTTCCACTTAAAACTACCACTGAAAACATAAAGAGGAAAATTAAAAAAAGGAAAATATAAAGGCACTGCAGGATCAAGACTTGTATGATCATTCACTTGAGCAATTCCAGTTCGCCGGAGAACTGAGACGGAAATAAGCAGTATAAGTGGCAGAAAGACAGTTGCATAGAGCCCTGTGACAGTGCGTCGATCAGATGGTAGAGAAGCTTAGTCAACAGGACATGAAACAGTCAATTAGTATCATGTCCTCCAACACAACGGCCAAAACATATGTGACCTAACAGCAGGAGAGCCGCAGCAGAGGGAGCCAGAGGTGACAGCTTTGCTGCCATAAACTTTCCATCCAAAGTACGGAAAATAGACACTGGGAGATGGAAGAGGTTTAAAAAATGAAGGCTTGCTAATTACAGAATATGAAAAAGAAAGTGAACTAAAAAAGGGGGAGAAAGAAATGGGCTCAAACAAATGAAAAAAAAAAAAGTAAAAAGAAACCTTTAAATCAAAAGCAACCAACACAGACATTTATGCTGTTACCAGAGAGTTCTCGCCGAGGCTGGCAAATTTGTCTCTTAAATCTTTGATAATATCGTGCTGCGAAAACAAAATCGATCAGGGTTTTGTGTTTTTTTTTCACACTATAGTCAGAGCTCTTGTGATTAAATGTTTAATTGTTCTTAAATTATGTGATCGGCCTAAATGGAAGCAGAGAAAATAAAAGAAAAAAGGCAGCTTTGCTTGATAGGTAGCCATGCTGACATCTGAAAAGTTTGCCTTCATGTTTAAACCTCTTCCTGTGAAGTCAAAAACGAAACAAACGAAACAAAATCACACAGACACACAAAACCATATTGTCATTACAACACAGCTGTGGAAGAACTGAAAGACGACCCTTTCGTCTGCTCTTCAGGCAGGCCCCGTGTAAAATTTATGAGCAACATTTGATTCTTCTTTTTAGACCCAACAATCTTTGACTTTTTTTCCTATCACCAGGACTGTGTGGGGAATGTTTGCTTCCCAGTGTCACCAACTCATTTTGTTAAGGTTTCTCAGGAAGAAAATGATAAGAAATTATTAGCCCAGAGACCCTTCCTATCATTTTTACTCAACCCCTGAAGAGGCAAAGGAGTCAGAAAAGGCAATTCTACTGATTCCAACAAATCCAAAAACACTGGAGTTGGTGGCAGGCTGGCCACGTACTCTTAGCACATCCACCACTTTGCTACTGTGCTTTCAAACTGGGTACAGAGGCTCAAAGATTGCTTAGAACAATGGGCACAACGGATTCGGGTGCTAGTATCCTCTTCAGTAACTTCATCATGTATGCGGGGGATCTACGGAGGAATAACAAGATTCCAAACTGCATTGTTTTAAAATAAATTCTCTTCGATAACTATTCTGGAGGAAAGGGTGATGTGAATCATTTAAAAAACTTATTAAACCTAACAAGCACACTGATGCAGAAGTAGGCAAAAAGACACTTGACAGAGAGCAAGCAGGCCTTCATGTCTCTGCTCGATCGAATGGAGAGCTTTCTCTTCCCAAGCTCTTTAATATGGTTTCTTTCTCGTGTTTGTCCTTTGAGAAATGCTTATAGTATGTAATTAACATTTTTTAGCACAACAGGAAAAAAATTTTTTTAACCCTGAAAGCTAAACCAGAAAGCATTCAGACAATGAAATGATGGGTTGTGTAGAAGGGCAAATAATAAAAAAACAAACACCAAGCCTTTCACTTCACCTTACTGAAAATAAACTTTCTTAAACTAGAGATAGATCTTTTCAGAGGATTTTAAATAAGGAAAGTAAATTATTGAAACATCTTTTAAAAACCCTTTTGAAGATTCTTTCACTCAAAAGGGTCTTGAATTATCATAATCATATCTTCAACTTATAGTTTGCTATTTCAAGAAGAAAAAAGGAGATTAAGTGGCAGTGTGGGACTAAGAACATATTTTTTTTTATTTTGCTTCAAGCAAAAAGATCATCAAAAGCAACTATGAATTACCAGCTGTTATCATAATAAGACAGTCAATAAGACTCTTTCAAGGTCAAATGTAACCATAAATCAAACCCAGGATCAAATAAACGGCTCTGAATGGATATATTCCACATCATGATTCCTGTTAGTCTGACTGGTTTTAAAAGAAAACTGTTCATTATTGTTGTATTTAGTCTAAGAGTGTCTCAATCTTTTAGTAAGTTGAGGGAAACAAATAGAAAGATTAGAAGAAAAATTTCATTTGGAATTTTTCACCAGCATCTTGCTTTGTATAAGAAAAATAACGAGACAAGAGTATATATATTTCCCCTTCTCGCGACAAAAGTAGTTTCTTTCCATTGTGGAGATGAAAGCACATTTTAAACCTGAGAATCCATAGAAATTCACACTGCTTCTAAAGGACCATCTTCAAAGACAGTGACATTTGAGACTAAAGGTCCCTAATCTATACTCTAGAAATTGTGCCTAAAGAGAACAGTTGGCCTGTTTCCTTATTGTTGTTGTATCTATTTTTCTTTTGGCATGTTCAAGTCTTCAGCATGCGCTGAAAAAAAAATTTCATTTTAAATTGCATTTCAAAGCAAGTTTTTTAAGAAGATAATGGAAAATTTCTACAAACTGGACTACTAAAATATTTTTCCACAACTTGGTAACATTTTAAGTCAGCATGAAGTATTTTTGCCATCTTGTATGTATTCTTTGTATTACTAAAAAAAGTATGTTGAGTCTCAATATGCTAAGAAAAGAGATTGAAAGATAGAATATTGAATTGGACAACTATGTAGAAAAGAAGAAAAGTTAGGAGGAAATGGTACTACTTAGTTGACAACAAATAGGTTGACTCACACAAAGGCAACAACAACAGCAAAACACATATGAGAGTCACATTTTCCGCTTGACTAAGCTTTGGTCCATATTCCAGCTCCTGAAATTGTACATCAGTCACTTTCAAAGAGCGCTGATTTACAGAGCTAGCAAAACATTTGTACTAGAACATTGGGTAATAATGGACTGTACTTAAAATAAAATTTGAAAAAATAATGGAATTGGAGAGTTACAAAAGTGTAGTCTCAGAGGGCAGGGACCATAGTAGTTGGTTACTTGTTTGACTCAAAGCACCAATGCATATACCCTGGTACACACAGTACAGTTTCCGCACCAAAGAGGTGCTTAATAAAATTAATAAAATTCAAATTAATGAATGACAGTGCAAAATAAAGAGATGCCTTTTAGTTTGTAAATTGACATTGTTGTTGTTTTTGTTGGTGTGTGCCATGAAATCTGTATAGTAATCTGAAATAGCTGTATTTTTCTTTTTTTAGCTTTAAAAGCCACACAATTAGTATGATGTGGAAAGATTATTTCGTTTTCTGCCAGATTGTCAAGTATTTAGAATTATACAAACAAAATGTGGTTTTCACATTGTGAGCTTCAGTTCATCTAATATCGTATATGGACCTTATATCATCATCTAATCTCTTTATGACTTACTTCTCAAATGTTACAAGAACATTAAAGAGTTAATTTTCCAATAAACCAAGAATAGTCCCTAATGCTCTATCAGGCCCAGCAAAGGAAGAAATGATACATTTGGATGATATAGTAAAAGGAATTTTTAACTTAAAATAATTTTTAAATGGCCTATTAGATGTTTACTAATAATGTAATCAGAGACAAAAAAAAAAACAACAAAAGCAAATAACAACAAAAAACCCTCAGACCAAAGACCACCCTTCAACAACTTAGTCAGTGACATATTTTACCTAAAGTACAGAAGGCTCATAAATTTACTTCATAATAAGATTTTGCCTCTTATTTCTATGTCACATGTATATGTGGAATATTATTTCCTGTGGACTAGGCTTGGTAAATGTGACATTATGCTAAAACAATTAAATCAGCTGAGTTAAAATAGTTTTGTTTCAGTGTTTTGCTGAAAAAATCATCTTATACAAAGCTCTACAATGAAAGTATGGGAGTGAAAGAATGAGAAATTATAATATCTAAAGTTACCAAGTTAACAACCATAAGCTGACCTATCCTTAGAAAGCATGTGCTTTACTCTGAGCAGAGTGCTGACTTAAACCACCTTCCATTTAGACATATTAAGTCTTAAACAGCTATGGATGCTTAAAGCATTACTCTGTTAGTAATGTGCCTGACAAAAGAACAGGCACGATGAAATAATTGATGACTACAAATAATACAGGATTTTATGATCTTGAAGGGTCCTCTAGTGGTATAATCTATATGGAGTTTTGCTGCTAACTAAAAAGTAGTGTTTCTGTTGTGGTTTAAATCCACCAGCAGTCCATGAGAGAAAGATGGGTTGTCTCTCCTCTAGA